TTTTTTTTTTTAAAAAGAAAAATGAGTTGTTTGCGGTCACTCCCCAATATCCTAGGTAAGGAGCTGTAATTGGCAGAGCAGCAGGAATCAGCATTTTAACAAGCAAGGAATGCTTTTTGATCTGTAGGTGATGAATCGTTAGTATGCGCAGGACTAGTACTTAGAAAACTAAATAGAGGAGGAGAGGGGAGGAGAAAAAGAGTAGTAGAGTGCATTCCTGGTAGAAACGGCAAGTTATGTTTTATAAAACGTTTTCGTGAGTGTGTGTCTGTCTGTGCCGGATTTGATGTCATATGCATTTCTTACTATAGGTTTCATTAAAAAAAGAAGAGAGAAAACCACTGCTCCAAGTTGGGTGTTCACAGACTATGGCTGTGACCATATCCAGCACTAACCCTGTTCGTGTAAATGAAGTTTTATTGGAACACTGCCACATTCACTTGTTTATGAATCATCTATGGCTGACTTCACACTACAACTCTGGGCAGAGGTGAGCTCTTGCAACAGTGACCATATGGCAAAGCCTAAAATATTTATAATCTGGCCCGGACCTTTACAAAAAAAGGTTGCTGACTTAAATGATTCTGATTGAATGCACCAATTTGTACCACACTCTGTGAAACACTATTTTACATGGTATAGCACTTCAGAATCAGACACTGAGCATTTAGCAAAATCCTAATTTCCTCATTAGAAAACACTCTTTAACGTATTATTTGAAAAATCTGACAAGATGAAATTTGATTTTTTAAAAAGAAATAACTAGATACTGATGCATATGAAGAGTCTCTGTATGTATGTATTACTGCTGCAGGGGAAAGTTTTCTGAGTGGGCACTGTTCTTTTGTCCTTTGCGAAGTGTGTTTGTTACAGTGTAATCTTTGCAGTTCATTCCGTACTCATCATGGAAATATTCTGTATGCTGGAATGTCCTTTTAGTGAGGACACAGACCTATTTATGTCATTTTATTGGTTGGTTATTATACCTTACGTGTGCTTTCAAAAGTAGCCCTTTATTTTTCTTTAAATGTATTTTAAATACTTTTATATGTATGTAGGATTCCTACTCCAAAATTGCTATGTCTAAACAATTGATCCTCAATTGACACAAGTATCTGAACTGACAATGAGGCCTATACTCAGCATCTCTATAAGGCTAAAGAAAAGCCGGAACATTTGGCCCAAGTTGATTATCTTAAATTTCGGAGATTTAGAGTACATAAAAGCAGTGAAGATAAAGACCCTTTATCTCTTTAGCTGTGGCCTTCTATCTTAGATCTGTGTCTGAACATAAAATGCATAATTTGCTTAATCTGGAATTTTCCATCAGCTTTTCATGTGTTGACATGAAATTTACCCCCCACTACTGAAGAAATAAGACAATTCTTTCCCGGGATATCTCATGGCTTGAGACTGTGCAGTTCATATAAGTATAAAGCCTGTTGAACTATTTATTTCAAAGAATGCACAATGTTCTGAGAGCAGGAATGACCAGTATGTACTAATGTACAACAACATCTCCTGCTTGGCAACCTCCCCAGTGAGAGGATTTGTGGTGAGCTTGTTCCCACTAGGTCTAATGGCTTTGTGATTGGCACCAGAGACGATGGAGGCACTCAAGAAGTAGGTGAAATTCACCTTTGTGGTCCCCATGATTCTGCCAGTTCTTCCTCCAGCTCCCCAATTCCAAGTGCTGGTTAGAGGGCCTCACTGTCTCCTCTCTGGATTCAATGTTCTCAGACTGCCCAGCCACCATCCTGTGCATCCGCACTGGGCACTAAATCCATATTAGCCCTCTCTGCTCAGCACCTCAGATTTTCAGGGTGTTGGCATCCATGCTCTTTTTTTCTTCAAAACTTATAACTGACACTACATGCCCCAGCCAAGGATTCAGTCACTGAATTCCAGGGTTTTGGGTTCAACTAGTCCTTGGTCATGTGCCAAATAGTAACTCAAGAGAAAGCTGAACGGGTTCCTGATCTTTTCCAAGTAACATTTGCTTTCTAACATTGCCTTCTGAGATAATGTCCCTGAACAAATATGCACTTTTTAAAAAGTGATAAATTTCAGCAATTTAAAAAGTAATATGATCAAGTTTCCTGTACACAGTACCAGCTTTACCAAATCTCAATAGTCTCATCATATTAGTGGATTATATGGTGATCCCACTGGAATTATAAGGGTCTTTATAAAAGAGAACCAGGAGAGTCTGTGTCAGAGAAAGAGATCTGAGGATGGAAGCAAAGTTCAGAATCATGGGATGAAGAAACCATGAGCCAAGGAATGTGCATGGCCTCTAAAAGCAGCAAAAGCCTACTCCAGAGCCTTTAGAAAGAAATAGCACTGCTGAAATCTTGACTTTAGCCCAGTGAGACTGATGTTGAACTTCTGACCTCTAGAAGGGCAGATAATAAATCTGTGTTGTTTTAAGCCATCAGGTTTGTGGTAATCTGTCACAGCAGCAATAAGAAACTAATACAAGCATTGAGAGCTGATCCTGCACATGATCGTGTAAGGCAACAAATTACCTTCCATACGCATATGAATAATTAATTGCAGCTACATTTCAGGCAGTCATGTGTCTGAGAACTGGAAGATGTCAGGTATTAAGAGACATACACACGTGGTGCATGATGATAGAAGAAGAAATATATTCTGTAAGGATCCCGGGCTGACACAGTGCTCTTCTAAATTGTACAATCTGTATATGGGGAAAAGTAGCTTCTCAACACATCTGAGTCAGTCCTTGGCCAGAGAACAATTGCATATTAACTTGTTAATTCACTGTAACAGCTTCAACAACTATTCGCTTTGATTTGACTTCAACTTTTCTGATCACCAACACAATGTACATGCATAAATATTTTTTAATCTATATAGAAAAAGTAATTTTAATATTATACAATATTAGAAGTAGCTTTAAAATTTTGTAGAAAACAGAACACATATTAGCTATTACAAACTCTGTGTACTACTTATTACTTGCTAATTTGATTTAATTATACATATTTTATTAAAGTATAGTTATGAGCAATAATAAAAGAAATGCATGAATTTGTTGTATCTTGAATGAAAGTTTCTATTTTAAATATTTACAACATTATCTTTTGAGGGTGGCCCAGAAATGGGTAAAATAAAATGGATTATAAGTATTTCAATATAAATATGAGTAATTTAAAAATAAACTGATGGATCCTAAAGTTACCAACAGTTCCTGAATAAATTTTGAATATGCAAGTGGCCATAAAGAATATAATATAAATTTGTAAATTGCTTTCTTGATAGTTTACTGTAAAACCATAGGAAATTTAAATGTACAAACATTAGAAAGAAGTACTATTAATATATCCACAAAGAGGTGTATGATATAGTGAAAGTACAGGAGTTTTGCCACCATGAAATTAAACATATCTAAATTCCTCAAGGACATGAAAAAGCACTTCAGAATTTTCATATACGTATAAAGTCTGATTCATTTAAACATTTAATACTGTGTTAATTGCTCCAACAGCAATAAATATGAAATGAACTCTTTGTCTTTGGAACTCACCTTCTCATAGAGAAGAAAGATGGGAAACAGTGGCTATAATAGGCCAGAGCTCCATGCTGCCTCCTAGAGTTGTGTGTGCACAGGAGACCATGACAATACAAAGAAAGTGGTGGAGGAAAAAAATGGCCAAATGAGGGACTTTGAACTATGTCTTAAAGACTTATAAGGATATTATAGAAAATACAGAACAAGGAGATATTCAGTATTTCCTAAGGTACTGAAGTCCATGGAGGTATGATATTTTCTCCAGCTAGAGAATATGAAATCTGCCCTAGAAATCATACCTTCCCTTCTTTGATCTTGGTTCCAATAATTTGTCGTCTTTGCTGAATGATCTCAATGAGAAGATCACATTCCTCCATCAATTTGGCTTCTTGACGTGATGCATTGACCTATGGGATAGATAAAATGGTAAGCATTAATTTGGCATTTGTTTTCAGTTAATGATCGTTTGAATGTAGACTAGTATATTTCTGGTAATCGCTGAAGAGATATTTAAAGGTTAATTCTTCTTCCAATTATGCAGGGATGGCAAATATAGGACTTACATGTTCATCTTGCATTCCTGGAAAAAATTATTATCCAATAATAGCAGTCTTTCTGCTAAGCCAGACTCAGCCTCAAACCCTTTCTTAACACAGCATGTACATACCTATTACCAATTAGTTGGAAATGGACACTTGAAATATATTTGCAATACCTGAGTTTATATTTTGAATGAAAGTGCAATTTTGGCCTGTCAAACAAAAAGTAAGTTTAAAAAACGAATATTATTTATGGAGGACAAATTTTCCAAAAGCAAGGTAACGGGTTAAATCACATTCATTTAAACTTTTCTCTTAAGCACAGACATCAACTTTGTATTTAATCACTAAAACACAAGATAGTTAAGTATTTTATTAATCTTATGGCATAATTTTAAATTTCACTTCTGGTATACTTCTGAAAGACCAAGGTTCTGCAATGAAAGCATGCCATTCTCCTGGAAAGATAGATCGTTACAGAAACGCTTGTATTTGAAGTTTTGAAGACTCATTGTATGCAAGGGAGGGTTAGAATTAGCTCATTCTTGGCAACTGGGCTTGGGAAATACTCCGCACATGCTATTTCCTCCATCTCATGACAATTCCAAAATGCTTATTCACAGAAACCCAGAAACCACAGCTGTGGGAAATGAAGATAGCTTGCATGAGTTTTATGATTTTAACACAGTGCAGGAGAAGCTGCAGTGTTACAGAGAATGACAATAGCATTGATTACTCTAGCATATCTCGAGGAGGAGACCTGGCCCAGTCATTAATTAAGCCCTTTTGATTTGGGATACTTTATTTAACTGAAGTAATTTCATGCACTATGAATGAGATAAGCTGGAAGTAGGGTCAGGAGCTCAGGATAAAAAGCCATCAGTGGCTGTTCACAGAAATCATGTCCCGTTTCCGAGGCCAGGATTCCTTGACTTTTATTCCTGATCATTATAAGACACAGCAGAGAGACTACTCAAGACATCGTCTTATCGAGAAGACGATGGTCACTGGCCATTTGCAGCAGACCACCAGATCCTGTTCTATGTCCGATTAGCACACAGACATATTTGATGAATGTTTAATAACAAAGAAAATATTAAAAATGCATTGATGGACAAGTACAGAAAGTGGAACTCGTGCTAATATTTCAAGGAAGTTAATCATTATGCTCAATTTCCCTTACTTACTACTTTTATGTCATCATTTTTACTTCTCCTTGAGGCTTCTCACATAAATTTACATATCTATGGAAACATTTACTTGACCTCAAATTTAATTTAATAGCTGACTACAACTGAGCTGTGATAAGGATGGTATCACATTGAAACCATGGGCACATCATGATGGCAAAAGCAAAATTTCTGGGAAGTAGCACCCTACACTTGAAAAATATCTCCTAGAATGAGCCCTAAGAACTATGTCGTACTTGAGCATTCAACCAAGGTAAATCTAATAGGATGCAAGCTCCATAAGGGCAGGGACCTTCGGTTGCTTTATTAAATGAGGCATCTATCCCAAGCACCTGGCACCACATCTGGCACAGAATAGGCATTAAAAAACTATTTGTTGAATGAACGGTTACTGAAAATGACCTTCCAGAAAGAAACAAGGTAAAATACAATGAAGCAAGTCGCTGTCATGATATATTGCAAGCACTCAATATGCAGGTATTAGATTTATTAGTTTTCTAGGACTGTGTAGACACAAAATTATGTCCTAAGGATTTTTT